TGGAACCGTACCTGATGAAAGACATACATTACAGTTGAGAAACCTATCAACAAACCTCACTTCTGTAGAGAACATATAGTATCGACTATGACAGCCAGATTTTCCTTCCTTATGATCCTTACCATCGGTGACAGACATAAACATGGTAACGTCGAACAGCTTCCTGGGAGTACTGTAACTGAAAATGAGACATACCATCGTTTCTCTTCTTCTTAGACACCTTGATGTAACTCGGTTCATACTAATCTCAGACTGGTGCCTGGGCCTGAAAATGAAACATACAAACTACACGAACCTTGTTAAGACTCCTACCAAACTACTTTCAGTCTGCGCACCATCAACCGACATCCCATCCCTAAGATCGTCGTCTTCGGTGTACCTATTAACAAACTAAATAAGAAAAACTAATTAAATAAATAAACAAATAAACAAATAAACAAATTAGCATAAATAAATTAATTTCGAAAATATTTGAAGCCGAACGGGTAAGCCTTCAGCTACAGTAACCTACGTAAGATTACGTATCTCAGTTATCATTAGGGCGAGGTAAAGGTGAATGGTTTGTAATTAGCTTTAGCTCAAATATATCTCTTATAAGACAGCAAAATTTTGTAGTGCTCAACAGCATCGATCAAGACTGAATCTGAACACAGTGTCATCCTCCCTCAGAAAGTAACAGATTACTCTTGTAGTGTTAGTCATATAGATAGGGAAGACGCTCCGGACTTATACTTTCTAAGATTGAATCGATATCGTAATAACTTGACTTGAAATACAACGTTTATAAGCAATAAAAATTAATTTAGAACATAGAAACTAGAAAAATGTTAAACAGTTCGATAGGTGAAAGTGAGTCCTCCTTTACTGAAGCGAGAATGACCTCGGATGGTTATTCTGTTACCAGTTGATGTCCAATTGTATCCGGAAACAGATGTGCAACAAAATCTGGATGTAATTGAAATGAAACTTCGAATACCAAATGCGATACTCACAGCATTCCAGACACATCAAAGTTGCCTATGTTTATCTCGAATCCGTTCCAATTACATCCTTCAATGCAAGTTCCCGCAAGACTCGAGATTTGAATTTGAATTCTTCTACCGGAAGGAGCCTACAAGAAAAAAATCAGTCTCCCTTCCAGATAGTGCCCAAATACACATACCACAACATGCCAATTACATTCGACAGGGTCTCCGTTTGTCCATCCAGTTCCAGTCAATCCTACCTCAGCAGTGAACGTTTGCCAACTTGTTGTCGCCTCGAAAAGATGTGATGAAGAAACCTAATTATCTTTCTTATTCACTTGCAAACTATCGGCATTGCAAATGGGAGCATTTCCACCATCAAGCTGATTGCAAAGTTTTCCTCCAAAAGTTTTCGGGCAGATGCATTGATCACAGTTACGGGAGTCGACGAATCCTCTATTATTGCAGTTGACAGGGTTAGAGCACCTTTCTGAATTGTATAATTGCATTGTTTGGAGAATTTTTAGACGGCAGTACGTGAGCATTGGTAAAGTGTGTTGATAATTTTCAAATCAGAGAATGCTGGGCCTTCTCTTTGACCCATCATGTTTTGATAGTTTCTATCCTTAGCGTATGAAGTGGGTACGTTTGTGTTACGTGCAAATGCATCTTAAACATTGAAAGTTAAGCTAAACACTGCTTTGTTTGATACATGGATTGTACTGCATGACACTACCAAAGTCATAAGCCATTCCATAGCTGTTCTCGGAATTCGAAGCAACCTGTAGGACGAGAGAATGTGTCTGTTATAATGAAACGAAGAACCTTCTGGAAGTTATACTGCTGGCTTCCATCAATGTTTCCCCAATTTATGGTTAGATAGTTATCTCTATCAAATCGAGATTGAGTATGATAAGCTCCTAGAGCATGTCCGATCTCATGAGTCACTGTGCCGAACTAGGAAAATATGAAAACCCCAAGGCTGAGAGTGTGTTACTTACAAGTTCGCATCCAGTACCAATTGATATATCCTGCCCTCCCCAATTTTGCTTACCAATATAGGAAAAGCATCCACTACCTCTATAAAATCGCAACCTGTTTGCTCCTCGAGAGTTTTCCTGAAAACATGGAGATACTAAGTCTATCATAAAACAATCACCTGGAATGTCAAACAAGTGTTAGCTTGCCAGAAGTTGACACTTCTCCTGATCAGGGCAGCAGCATAATCTGAACATAGATTGCAAATGATTTTTTTTACAAAGAATGAGGAAGTCTTACTGCTAGATGAGTCAATGTAGTAGTAGATCGGAACATTTGGACTCCATAAGAGTTGTCTGTTTGTAATAACAGATCTCTTGGTTCTATTCTGCACTACTCCAGCATCCATATCTTCAATTGAATTATTATAACAGTCTCGTATCTCCGATTGCACCTGAAGAGCCTGTGTTGAGCAGTTCCAGTTGATCTCTGTTAAGGATCATATCTCCTTCAAGAGTCAACGCCTTCAAAACATCTGTATTTTCAACGTCTATGTTCCGGGTTGCATTCTGATCTTGCGGTCCAAAGAATTCCCGATAACTCGACTTAAGACGAAAAGTTAGTTTTCATTGTTCAACAAGTTCTTTACTATGTCTAGAGTTTCAGTCTGCTCCTCAGCTGATCTTCTATTGAGAGCCGTTCTTCTCAAGCGAAGCAGTGCCATACCTTCTAACATCTGAAAGAAACTATGCGAAATGAAAAAGAGGAAAACCTACTTCCTGAATGTCTTCTTTTGATGGACCAGCACTCTCCCCATTAACAAGTTCTTGTTCAACCTAAAAGTATAATTTCATATCCAAGTCGTTTATGCCAAACCTGATCCGGATTGGGATCTACATCGTCGTCAGCTCTCGATCCCGAACTCACGATTATGGCTAACCCACAGATGAACAGAAGATTCATGGTTCCAGCTGCACACTGACCAGTTATGACACAGGCGTTTTATAGGGAATGGACAGACAGAGTTCTCTCAATTAATCTATTCATCCCCACTCCATATGATCCCATGTTGGACCATAACACATCATCAATAGTAGAAAACTGTGGAATGGAATAAATAATATTTTTCAACAACTAATCAACAATTCAACGATCAAGTTAACATCAAACTTAGAACAGTATAGTTCCAACGAAAAAAACAAATTTCATGAGAATGTCATTGTACCTTTCCCGTGGTCAGCTGGACCAGCTCTCAAGGCTTAACAGGAAATCATTTCACAATGCCAACTCATCGTCATATTCTTTCACTTGTGACATACATTGCCTAAGACTTTGTTTGAACAAATTTGAATTTATAACAGAAATTCAGAGTCTCGATATTCCCGAACAAAGCTGGGACTCAATCGACAAGCTACTGCAGCTTGTCCATGTAAGATTGTAATTCGCCCTCTTCTAACCTTTTCAGAGTTCTCCGCCCTTTAATCTGAGTACTATCTTGAAAACACATAGGACATGAGACAGAACAAGAGAAAACCTTTGATATTGTATTATTTATTTATTCATTCATTAGCTGGCATAAGCAGAGCTACAGCTTTAGGAGTACTCAATCATCTGTATGGAGCTACAGGTACAGGAATACTCAACCAACTCTTCTAAACCTTGCTGATTCATGTTGGTTCATCGGATTCCTCAATACTTCATATGAGTGATACTACCACTGAGATTGTGGATGACAGGGTTGAAGAGCACAGAAAAGAACAAATTATAAACTTTATTAAACCCGCTATTCAATGAAATCATGATCATGACGTTTCAACATTCTTTTTTCTCTCAGTCAGATACTGTCTTATCTCTTTTCTTAGCTTTGGATTGCATTTACAATATATGATAAGACGAGCTGCTGATGATACCATGTAGCATATACTAACAGTGTCAGATAGAGCTAAATATGGTCTTGTAGATGTGAATTTGAAAATCTCTTACCAATATAGAAGTTACTCGATTGATTTGGATCATCAGAATCATATAGAATTGATGAATCAAATCGTTCCAGAACTGTTAGAAACAAATGAACTCCATTACAAACCAAATATGACATAACAATAGCCAGCATAGTGTATATGGCATTTCGAAGCTGCGATTGCTTGTCTCTTGACGATCTGTAAAACGAATGAGGATGTTTGTTAACATTCATCTTTGAAGATAAAAAAAAAAAGAAAAATGTTCAAAAGTGTTGAGTCTTGAACGTCACGAATGAAATGAAATCTGATCTATGTTGTACATAAAATCTATTTCTGTACGTAACTGTGTCTAGCTAACACCATGCTCTTAGTCTAACTAGAACCAATTTGGAAATCTTGCTATACAGCTAGAAACCGTTTGCAGTAACTCACTTATGGATCTTGATTACTTTACCCATAGTACGGGGTGCTTTCGTAGATCTAAGTAATTAACCAATCTCATCGATATTTCAAAGGATAATGCCTCTCTCACGAAAGATTCGGCCTTTGCAGGCGATCACTCAAATTACCTGTGTATAAGAGATTCTTTCATAACTTCAGTAGCTACTTCCAACAGAACGTAGTTTTCTGACATGGTTGGAGGAGCTCCTCCGTTCTCTACTTGGTGTGGAGATTTATAACCTGCGAAGTTGGATAGACGCGGTTTGATAGAAGCATACATCTTCAACGAATTTCACATCTTCAAGCATTCACACGATGAACTCACATGTTCTCTCTTCTCTGCTAGGAGTCTCTTTATGATTATAATGTTCAGAATAAGTAATACAATGAATGGGAAGCACATTTGCACAGCGGTTATAACATGGAAGTCGAAGAAGTAGTATGCTTAAACATTCGATCTCAATAACTGAATTCTAACAACAAAGATTTACCATAACTTTCTGATGCCCATTCTGCTTGTGAGACTGACTCACTTCTGAAGTAGTCTGTACAGCCTGGATACTGTTGAACCTGAAAAAAATAGTTTTTATTAACTCAGTGTTCTTCTCTGCACTCGTGTACAACCGCACTCATCAACACAACTTCACAAAATGAATTTCAAACGTTTTCACGTTTCACGTGCGCCACGTGAGTCGATGAAGCTAATGCAATGAATGGAAAAGCATTAGGAGTAAAAGCTTTCAAATGTCTCCAAAATGGTTTTGATCAGAGCAAAATGATTATTATAGAACTGCATAGAGAGCTTTGAAACGAAAAATTGAAGTTTGTGCGTGACATATCGCTCAGATTCCACACATATTTGACTAAGGAATTGAAATTGTTTTCTCGAAAAGCGAAGGATTTGCTATTTCATCAGACAGAGGAGTAGTGAAGGTAATAGATGTACCTGAGTAGATAGTAGAACTGGCATTCGTAGTAACATGCTTACAAGGATAATGAATGCGGCTGTGACACATCGTCCTTTGTCACTGAAGACTGGAGCAAAGAAAAGTCTTCGAAAATATATATTTATAATTAGCATAATGAGCATATACTAACCTTGTCTTCTCTTTTGTTGTCCATAAATATCTTTCTAATGTTATCAATATAAGACTGAAGGGTATGGCAAATTGTACAACCTTGGCAACAAAGAAAACGGGAATTATATAACGATGATAAAGGAAGAACAGAGTCTGAAACGATGAGATGATGTACTAGAAGGCTTTCAATGACATTTTCAAACTTTATCTTTCAAATAAACAAAACCAGCATCGACACCAAAAAGTAGTAAATATGTTAAACAGATGAGCATATCCAAAGTAGATAATGTGGCTAAATATACAGAAGATGGCAGTGTTTTCCAGAAAACTGCCATTAATAACTAAAATTTTATTTTTATTATAATCTCATCTCATCTATCTCATCTCTCTCTCTTAGTCTCTCTCTCTCTCTTTCTCCTTTTTTGGGTTTTTCTTGTACTTTGTATGGAGCAGGGAGAGGCTGACGTTGTTTTTCTTCAAAAACTTGATACAATAGAGTGAAGACCATTTGCTGACTCTCAATAACATCTCATACATAGATTAGAAAGACGAAACATATTCATATTAACATAACGTTCTGTTTATCCGAGATTTAATACTCCAAGCTTCTACTCTGTCTCAACTCTCAATCTCGCAAACTTCTTTCGTTCAAAGCCTTTATGAGAAAATAGAATATGAATGCGAAAGTTTATTGAAATGAATTGCCACTCACCGCATTTCCGGCTATTCCAAATACAGAAATTACAGAAAAGAAAGTTATAATGATGAAACGCTGCATAGTATATCCTTCATATAAGCCACAAAGATCTTCTACAGCCGTCGACATATTTGATGGACTTGTGTCTTCTGCATCCAGAAGAGTACCACTGACGTCTAGCAGTGCTAGCACCGCATCCATTTTTGATCAACTAAAACTTTTCTAATTTTAAAAAATTAATTAGAAAATTAAAATCTGTGAAGAGCATCATAAACTAAAATGATTAAGTTGGATGAATGAGAAAGTGAGGGAGGGGAAAAGATGGAAAAGATGAGGATGGCGAGGAATGCAGAAGATGAAACTGCTCAGTTGGAGAAGAGGAGAGCTGAGAGGAAAGAACATGAAACATGAAAATATAAATGTCAAACGGATCCCAAACAAGGCTGTATGTCTACTGCTTCTAGATGAAGTCGTTGCAGTTTTATGGTTATGAATAAATAGTATATAGAATTGAAATAAACCTGTCATTCATTCAAATTTATGATTTCAAAAAGATTGACTGAGAAGGTTCAAGCAGATATGACCAATCATCACCATCATCGTCGTCGTCGTCATCGTCATCGTCGCTTTCGACGTTGTCATTAGATATTCAGAAGGAGACCATATCGAGTCGATATTCAAATGGAGAATCAATTACATTGTTCGATTAAAGTGAATGGCTAACTGAGGTCATTGTGAAAAGTAACAGAATGAGTAAATACATGTCTAAGGACAAGCACGTATCGAACTTATTCATTTATGGTTTTCAGAAGGTTTAGATGAATTTTCATATTTAATGTGGAGCTATAATCTTTCTAAGAACTGAAGAGGAAGATGAAGATGATGTTGAATGAGAAAAAAAAAGAAAAAAAAGAGAAGAGCGAAGGGGGGGGGGGTGGAAGAGAGAAAGAAAGAAGAGAGCTTAACTTATTTCATGGACAATTATAGGCACCAAACTCTATGACGGTTACGAAAAGATCTAAAAACGTGGCCGGAAGCTATTTGAATGAAGATATGAAGAAGTAGATGAAGAAGAAGAAGCATCTTGTATTCGTTTCGATATGCTACTTCCATAGAGAGAGCATTGAAGAAAGATGGCTTGTGAGTATTATTTATGACCGGAAAAACAGGTCAATTAATAGAGAAGAGACTGTTTTCGTACATCAATCTTCATACAACGACTAAACGAATGAACGAATGAAGCATAGTGTCTTTGAGAAAGTTCAGTGAAGAAGCTGAAAAATTAATTTGAAAACGACTAAGTAGGTGTTTTTCTTTCAAACATATATGCAAATCAATGAACAAATAGTTAGAATAATTAGTTTTTATGTGAAAGATAGAAGAGAGAGAGAGAGAAAGAGAGAGAGAGAGAGAGAGAGAGAGAGAGAGAGAGAGAGAGAGAGTAGAGGAAATCTTAACAAATCAACGAATTTAAATTTAAACGAGAAATAGATGAAGAAGGACGTGTGCAACCGTTCTGACCAACCATTCAGCTCTTACTCTCGTACTTCATTTGAATAATCTGATGAGCTATGGATTGCGTGAAAGACTCACGTGGACACACGTACGTGGCATGCAAATGATGGATACATCCACATACACCTGGATGTAAGCAAAGCGAAGAAAAAAATGAAAAAATGAAAAGAAAATATGTTTTTACTGCAATTACGAGGCTGAGAAAAAGAAAAAAATTATTTTAAGACAGGAACGCATTGTTGTGCTGGCAATCAGTTTAAAAAGCTTTTTCTGAAGAATACAAAAAGGATGATTATAGGAGGAGAGTTGAAATCTACATCCGAAACGAACACAAGAGCGATTCTCTCAAGTATGAAGTAGGAGGAGGAGGAGAAGATGGAAGCACATACAGAGAGAGAGAGAGAGAGAGAGAGAGAGGAAGAGAGGGAGAATGGAAAATTGAGAAATGAAAGACTTGTTAGGAAATAAAAAAAAAAGAAAAAAGAAAAAGGTTTGCAAATGAAAAACTGAAGACGATGATTGTCCATCTAATCGTAGGTTCAAATTATCCGAGGCTGAGTAAACAAATTGGATTGTCAAGTCAATTTGAAGAACGAAATAACTGCACTTGTTATAAGATGAAGTAACATGTATTCTTTTAAAAGTAGAAGAAGGAGATGAAGCTGGTGATGGAGGAGATGATGAAGAGGACGAAAAAATAAAATTAGAATGAAAGAAAGGAAGGAATATCATGTGAATTAAGCAGAACACAACTCTCAATTCCAATTGAAAGCAAGTAGTGGTTGAGTCATTGCAGTTAAGAAGACCATCTCTCCTTCATCATTACTTCTTATACCTTAAATGGAAGATAAATGTTTGTGTGTGGTGGGGTGGATGCAAAACAAAATACTAAAATAAGATCAAAATAACTATTTGTTATGTCACAATTGAACATAAACTAAACGTAGTTACTTGAAAAAGCCATCTTCATACTTCATCTCAATCTCTCTCCTCCCACCTATCTCTCTCTCTCTTCTACTCTTCAGATGCCCATTGCGAGAAGATAGCCACAAGAGCTTTTCTGATTTAATTTCAAAAAGTTTTTGTAAACAATTTAATAATAAGGTCAATATCTTCATTTCTTACTTCCACCTCTCAGACTCTCTCTCTCTCTCAATCTCTATTCCTTACTCCTCTTACATCTTGTGAACGAGGGAACGTTACCTTAGATAAGGGATGACATCCTGTTTATGGAAACTCAATCTTTGCATTTCCCTTCTCTCTCCCTCCCTTTATCTTAAGTATTTTTATTTTTTAAAATGTATAACTGAACGTTCTCGTCTACATCATACAGCTTTTGCATTGCAGAAGAGGCAAATCAGATTTAGCAACCGTTCTACTGCATCTCGTCAATGATAATGAGTTCATTGACGTGAACTTTCACGCGATACTACATAATTAGCATAAAAGCAATGAAATTAACGTCTGCTCATACAAAAAATATAATTTGGAAAGAAAGGGGAAGGGAGGGGGGCGAAGGCGAAGGAGAAAGGAAAGTCAAAGCAACATTGTGCACTCTGGAAGGTAAATTGGAGTTTGAACGAATCAATCAACACACACAACCAACGCTTAGAAAGTTTGAATGAATGTTTCAACAGAATGATGTCAAATTATGATTTTATGAGAAAGACTGACTGAATAAAGAAAAGCAAATTCAATAATTACAGATTTCCTTCCTTCTTCCACTCTCTGTCACTCTCTCTCTCACTCTCTCGCTTTCTATTGCCTACTTATTGTATAAGGGGAGAGAAGAAGTTGAAGTTGAAGGAATGATCAAGGGATGAAGAGGACATAAGGATAAGGACGATATGGAATGTATCTCCATCTATCCATAATTAGACAAACGGTTGTTATCGTTTGTTTTTCTTTTCTTCAACTTAACCTGTCTCCATGGAAACAAAACAATCATTCAATTGATACTATCCAGAATCTAATAGAATACAACAACAGATGTGAAAAATGAAAAATATGAAATTCGGCCAAGCCCAACCAATGCGATTCAATGACATTTGGGAGAGAAATATTTGAATTTTCCCCTGATAATCTCTGATGTCTTTGACGTGTTTAGATTTTTATTTTGTTGCTCTCTTCTTCACTCAAATCGTCAGAAAACTGATTAAGTTTTCATTAATTATCACATATCTAACATAGTTTCTAACATATTCAGCCAAATGGCATTGGCATTGCCTATACACAGGCACACACACACACACACATACCCATAGATAGATAGACACATGCAAATCTACAATGATATCAAGTGCATGTTGTAGTAGAGTAGCAATGGGATAAGTAATTTCACCTTCATTCACTCTCAACATACTTCTTCTTCGTCTTCTTCTTCGTCTTCTTCTTAATATGATGATTGAGTACGAAGGAGATGCGCAAACGTCTAAACTACACGGACATCATCATACTATGATGGATGGAAGTGAAATGAGAAAAATGATTTCTACGTACTTAATATCAAAGAATATTCCCTGAGGGCATAAGTATTAGCTTCAAAGAAGATGAAAGAACGTTAAATGTATTTTTTGAGAAAAAAATGTAAGTTTTGTGAGAAATTTCAAAAATATAGGAAAACACTCGTAAGACACGACCTCTCTCTCTCTCTATCTCTCTTTCACTTTCTCTCCTCATCTTCTTACTCTACGTTGCTGAAGAATTGAATGTTTGGAAAACTGAGAGAGCTTCAGCTTGATTATGGAACGATACATACTTTGATGGGAAGTTGGAGTTTGTGATTATAGTAAATTGAACTTATTCCAATATCAAAATGTATTTGAGAGGTGTAAAGAGAGAGAGAGCACAATCTATGTTTGGAATGAAAACCAAATTATCTTCCAGCATATCAAAGCTTCTATGCTTTCATCTGACACGACATCTTCTCTAACATCGTCGTCGTCGTTGTCGTTCATCATCGTTGTCTTCAGGAATATCTTCTGAATAACGGAGGAATTGCCAGTGTAAAGTTCATTATAAAATATCTAACGCTTTGTCTTTTTTTAGAAGAGAATACCAGCTGTAAAGAGCTTTTCCTTTTCAGAATTCTTCTGCAGCTTTACTCTCTCTCTCTCATTCTCTCTCTCTCTCACTCTCTCTTTCAATCATACTCTAAACGAACACACAAACAGAAAGCAACAAACGTTATTCAATATAAAAACATAATGATAAGACAAAAAAGGAATTTAAAAGGTAAATAATCCGAGGTAACAGAGAGAACGAGCAATGCATTCACAAACGAATATTATAATACAATTATAACTAAATGTATTAGTTTCAGTTCGTTTTGGAAGAAAAATATAATTAACTATATCCAGACAGGAAGAGAGAAAAAGCAAAAAGAGGAATGGAATGAGAGAGAGAGAGAGATAGAGAGAGAGATTGATACAATGCGAGAGCAACCTGTGCCTTCTTAAAAGCTCAACTGTGATTGTATCTTTCATTTGATGGTATATTCTTTTTATATCCATAACATTCCGAAACTTATCAGAAAGCTGAAGAAAACAAGTAACACATAGAGAGAGAGAGAGAGAGAGTAGGATAGATCTAACAAGACGATGAGTGGGAGAGAGAGTGAGAGTGTATCCATGAGGAGTATGTGTGCAAGGCAGGCAAAAGGAGAACGAAACTAAAAAAATGTTAAACAGAGTTCATCAAAAGAAATGAAAACATTTCAAAATGTGACAATAAATATTCTGTTTGCATCTTATAACAGAGTGAAGTAAGGCATTCTTCTTTATAACTTCCAATTGAAACGTTCAGTCACATTCCAGAGACGTCTGGAGTTTGATCAGAATGAATTTCATTTTGTAGCTGTTGCAACCGGTAGAGCGGTTGTTCTAAAAGGTAATTTCACACAGAAAGAAGCTAGCTTCAATGTGTTTTTGAAATCACAATACTGCCTTCTGGCCAATTTCACATTCAACTTTTGAACTTGTTTGATCTTATTTCAAAAAGGAAATGCATCATATGAATGATTTAAGATTGAGATTTGAAGAGTAAACGTCAGAGTCAGCAGATGAATGGAATGGATGAAGATGATGAGAGCACGAAGAGCGTTTGTTAAGAGAGATGAACCTTCTTCACTTGGAATAAGAATCATCAATGCTATAAGTCTGCCCAATATATTTTATAAAACGATATTCATCTGCTATCAGTTGATTGAAGGAAGTGGACGACGAATAGGACGAAGAGGAATTTCGTAAAGATCGAAAAGGATACTTGAAGAAATTAAATTTTTGTTCTTCTTCTTCTTCTCAAAACTTACTTGTTTACATGTTTGATGATAAACTTCTTAGCATACTTGAAATCGGTCTTGTTTTCAAAAAAATTTGCAAAAAGAACTTTTAAATTTCTGTTCACGTCGTGATCATTGACAAGTTTCTTTCTCGTCTTTGTTGGAAGAGAAGCAAAAAATGAAGTTGGATAAGAAGGTATTAGAAGATGTTTGAATATCAAGTCAGAGGGAATCATCCCATATCAACCTTCTTGAAGATGGAACAAGTCCTTTTGTATATAGGAGAATGAGCATTCGATGAAACCAAAACAAAACAGGGAGATAGAGAGAGAGAGAGAGAGTGAGAGAGTAGGTTGTCGACGAAGCTGTTTCAATGGAAGACAGTGAATATGATTCTGAAAGTCTGTCAAGAAAAATAGTTTGAAGAAAATAAAAACTAAAAAAAACGAAGAGAAATAGATGGAAAGAGAAATCAGGATGAGAGTTTGTGAAGAAGACGAGAGGAGGATCTATAGTTACATGAGTAAGCTATATAGATGCATAGAAAGAGCATTCCATGAGATGAGAGAGACTCGCTTCCCTAGGTTACTTCTTCCAATTTGGACTTTTTTCGTCTTTTCAGTTTCGCAGCTTCTTCTTTCCTCTTCCTTCAGGCTCAGTCAACCTTCAACCTCTCTTCTACTATTTTCCTTTAGACTCTCTTACTTTCGTCCTCTCTCTATCTGTCTGTCTCCTATGCATGCCTTCTATCAAACAGTTGCAAAGTTTAACTATAATATAATTATATGAAATACATGAGTAGTGCCTTCATGTGCCAAATATGGTAATGGTAGATGGATGTGTAGAAATATGTGAAAAGAAGAAAAGCAAACACATGTCCAGCAGCTTTACAAGAACTTTGTTTTCATTTTGCTTGTTTGGATCTTCCACCTTTCTCATCATCAACTACTAAAATCCATTTGTATCACAAAGTGAACTATTATTGAATTAAGGAAAAGCTTTGGAAAAATACCAACTTCTTAACGTTTTCCCTTAGTAAGGGAGAGGAAAGGCTTGAAAAGAAAAAAAATTTTCCAAGAAGGAGGGAGGATGGCGAGATGGTCTAATACAACTACATGTATTAGGCAATAGTGGTAGGCTTACATAAACCGACCGCTCACTCAGATCTGTATTGACTCGAATGAACTGCACGTTCACGTACGTGGAAAATAAAATAAATTTAAATGAAAAAGCCTTAATTTGTAATTTGAAATGAAGGAACGAGAGTAAGGAGGATATTCAATTGAAACACAAATCCCGGAGGAGTAACAGAGTGGAAAATAGACCATCTTATAACAAAATATGTAATAGAAGTAGAATGAATCAAATAAATGAAGAAGCGAAAACGGAATTGACTTGATGGATAGTTTTACTATGCAAAGTTCTTCTTTATACCTTCTCGTTTGACTTACAGGGGACATGCAACTTCATTCGGATAACATTTAGATGAACGCATTCTGTGAAACGAGAGTTCTCCAATCTTCATACATACATACATGCATGCATATGAGTCTTACACCTTAATCCCATACATTAGTCTTCCTTCTTTCCTCTTTCTCTTTCTCTCTCTCTCTCTTTATCTCTATTTCATTCTGGCACACACAACCACACACACAAACACACTCTCATGTGTCTCTTGAATTGTGAATCAGAGAAGGAAATTATGAATTCTGAGCTTCTGCCCGGATGACAGTTACAGATTTTCTAGAAAACTGTAACTGATCAGAAGATTGCCTACATATGACAATCAATCTCTTTGTTGTTATTTTGTTTGACTAACTGTCATGTAGTTGACACTCTGTAAACCATAATTGGCATCCATCCTTTCTCAACCAAAAACTACATGCGAACAGAGGTAAATTTAATGGAAAAGAGAAATTTTATTTAAAGTTTCTTCAAACACCTCATCTTATTGGTTATTTTGAGAAGAATGCAACCGGTTCGCGTCAAAATAGTTTTCAAAATGAAATATGCTAATTAGCCATACCACATCATCTCGGCAAAAATCACTCAATTAGAATAAAAGTACGGAATTGCAATAACCAGACGTTTTCGAGATATATGTACGTGGCTATAGAACGTTCAATGACCATCTATGAATACCGTTACAAACGTTTTTTTATTTTTTTTATTCACTTCTTGTTTCACCTCACTCATCTCAGCAGGTCATGGGAGACCTATTCTTGAGATAGAAGCTGAAAAACGATCATTTATCCTCTACCGTACAGGTTCCGGAGAATGAAAAAGAAATTCTCAAAAGACTCATGTAAAGCAAGTCAAATTAGACCAATCATCTGTCAGTTGCCATCAGCATACAGCCATTTATGGCTTGACGATTGGATTGTGAATCCGCCCATTTACGGGCTGAGGTTTAGTACAAAAGGAGCGGCCAAGCCATCATCTGCCTTACAGTCTAACGTTTGTTTTTACTTTCTCCTCTCTCTTTCTCTCTCTCTCTTTACTTAATAATGAAACTATGTGTATGATGAGCTAAGTAAGGAAAGAAGTAATTACACGTATGCCTTACTCTGTTTTTCGAATAAGCTTCACACATGTAAGCCTGTCAGACAATTAAGCCAAGTTTAGCATGCCTGAGTTAAGGTAAGAAAGAACTAGACTAAAACTTTAACAAAAAAGCATATAATGATGATGATGATGTTCATTCTATTTGTCTCGAAAAGTAAAGAAAAAAAAGCAGGATAAGACTTTTTTGGTTCTGCTTCTTCTGACTTCTTCAGTGCTATTTCTCTTCAACTGAATGCTTCCAGTTAGACTCCGCCCATCCAAACAATTTTTGCAAAGTTGTTCTTTCCTACTGACGTCTTAAGAGATTTATAACTTCGTTTCCTGACTTCATAGTAGCTTTTTGAAAAAGCAATTATTTCATTTAATTTTTCAACCTTTATCTTCTTTCTGTTTTTGTTTTTTTTTGTCTTCTGACCGAGACATGCCAAGTACAATCTGTGTGTGTGTCTCTCTCTCTCTCCTTCTCATAGAGGATCTCCTTGTCCATATTCCAGAATGAAAGTTTGTCTGTTATCCATATTGGCATTGATTAGTCTGGCAAATGCTCATTCTATTGTTGAAATTGATAATGCTGTGATAGGTGAGTATCTTTTGAAACGATTATTCATTATCGGTTTGTCACTTGTTTTCTCGATTATTGTTGTTGATTGCCCTATACTAGCGGAACCACTTGAGCCATTGGTTACTAGAATATGACAAAAATCTGGAAAAAGCGAAGCTTCATGGATGTGAAGAGGATATGAGAGTCAAAGAGAGAAAGAGAGTGAAAGAATGGAATAGTTAAGAAGTCATTTATGTATTTATCAACCACCATGTGATGGCCATTGATTCTTGAAATAACAATAGCAGATGTACTCTGTTAAGAAGGTTAATTGCAAAGTTCAATGTCAGCAGCTTCTTGTTAAAACTTCAAAATGACGTTTTGAACTTTTGCATCTTGGGGAGAACAGGATATGGCCGGATAATTATATGCTTCATATATCTTCCTTGTAAGGATTGTTTGTTACTAATTACTGTTTTGCTTAGAAGACAATCTGTTTCTTTTCATTCATTTTTTTACAATCAAGTGTGACAGAATAAGGAAGGAAAAGAGATTTTTTTTTCTCAAAAACGTTTGGCTTCATTGCAATGTGACCTTATGGAGATGAAGCCATCCGGAATAATAGCCATCTTCTGCCTTGAACGACGGTCGAGCTAAGTTAATTCAGCTTTTCCCACTATACCCACACTCTTCTCCTTCCTCACTTCCTTACTTCTTTCTTTTTCATTTTTTTGTCTGTTTGCACTCTGCTTACAGTCAATTCAGATGAAGCCGAGAATGAATTAGAACAGGTCTCAAGTATAATTGTACTCAAAGTCATTTATGGCATTAATTCTTTGACAAATGCCTTTCTTTCTCTTTCTGGCTCAGTTACTCCGATTCGAGATTTGTTCGGAAGCAGAAAAGTGAAATGAAAACATGAAAGATGGTTTGTCAAAAGCATCTCCTTTCAAAAAATCAAAGACAGCATCCACCAACGACCTTCTTAAGAAAATGAAAATTCAGGTGATCCGGAGGTACAATGTGAATCGGATTCAATCTCGTTACTGTTTCTTACCAAAAACCCGTTCATTGGCAAAATATTCGTTAAGGTATTCAATTGTAATATGAGGTTATAGTATATTTCCTATCAAGGGCTTTGTATCGGATGATAACTGTGTTAGTATGGGAGACAACAAGAAGAACCATCGCTTCTCTGTGAAGCATGACTCTTGTGGAGTTCGTCGTCAGCGAGAAGTAAATGGAGTTGTTGTGATTACGACAGTAATCGTCTCTTTCCATTCAGTAAGATGAAACACACATCACATCTCCTCCATTAAACCTTATTTGTTTAGATTTTCATTACAAAAGTTGATAGAGCTTATCGTCTGAGCTGTTTTTATGTGGAATCAACGAAGAAGGTTCAACAACAGCTTGATGTGGCGTAAGTTGAAAGCAAATTAAAAGAAAGGAGAAACATATGAAACCATGGGAAGCCTTAATCAAATTACTTTTATGTTGTTTTTTTTCTTTTTAACTACATCCTTCGAAGCCTCTCAATGTTTCAGTTTGTCCTTGCTTCTATGCAAATTCCAAAGAGGTTTTATTCTATTCTAACCGTTTCAATTTTCCTTTCATCTTCACAATTTCGTAGTTTTTGCGTCATCTGCGTAAATCCTTAGTTGGACAGTTCGAAGATGTCTCTCAACCTGCCACTATGAACATCATCCATTTGTGGAGGCATGAGGTTGCAATGAGCGTAGGTGTCATCTTCCTCCTTCAACTAGTTTGCTGTCGCAACAGCTCTGAAGCAAATCCGATTGACAATTGAATGAATGAAGAAGTCATATAACGGATTGTCGTATAGATTCTTCCCATTTGCTTACCTCCACAAATCAGAAGTTTAATGAAGATAGAAGAAAGTTTGAACAAGACTTCTTAAGAGCATGTGATTTCATTGAAGCATTGCAATCACCAAGATTGTTGAACTGAGCTTTCTCATTTGAAAATTGAACAACGAGTTTGGACAATCAAAGGCCATGAAGAAACAAAATGGATGTCAGATGTTCATAGTTCAACTTTTCGTTTTTTATATCTTCGGTTGCTGTTCAGCTTGACGTAATGTTGCCAAGTAAAGTAAAAGAAAAATGTTCGTAAAAACAAGCTTCTCTCGGTCAATTACAAGGTGTTCGGTTGCATTTAATGCTAATTGTTCATCTTCTTTCAAAATGCATTTTTCTCTTTAGAAATGGATTCAGACGGAAAGAATGAAAAGTCATATAAAAGAAGGAAGCTTCCAAAGACACCGCTCGAGACAGAGTAGCAAAAAAAGAAAAAAAATTCTCGTGAAAAGGGGTTCTTAATTGAATTTTTTGGATGACAAGACTAATTATTCAGTTACAAATGACATAATAATTAGATTTTGGGGTTTTTTTTCTTTTCTTTTCATAACTTTTCTTTCTTTAGAGCTTTGACGACGCAAGCTTTGGATGGACAAACCCAATTACCTGTCTGCCGGTTTGTACACGTCGCCAGCCCTTATTTGTATTTTCTTGTACAGTTATGAAATCTTGTCGGATGGACCAAACGGTGTTCCAATCAAATATGCTCGCGTTGGAGATACTGTTTACCATAAATGGACTTGTGTCTCAGAGCTGGAGGACGTTTACTGCATGAAAGTACATTCATGTACTGTTTACGATGGACAAGGAGGACCACCAGTTACAGTTCTTGACGCCAATGGGTTCTCAACATTACAAAGACAGCGATCAATCTTCCTTTTAGGTGTTCAATCGATGGAATCATTCTACAGAACTTAGATTATCTATCTGATCTGTCAGCAGGCAAGCCAGCTCAGGTAAACATCCATCTCAACAATTATCAATTCTTCCGTGGTCTCCTCAGGTTTTCAAATTTGCTGACAAAACTGGTCTTTACTTTAATTGCCAAATACGTCTTACCATTAAAGACAAACAGTATGGATGTTCTAGCGCGGTAATTCCACCATATTCTAAGCTCTAATACATTTTGGAGCTTCAGCGACCTTCATGCGGAGGAGGTCAAACTTATGTTGAACCATCTTCTCGAACAACAGAAATCTCTTCAAGCGAAGACAGCGCAGAAGACTATGCTACTAAGCCAGCTGTTTATCCTACTACGCAAGGTTTGATCAGATCAAACTTCTGTTATTGAATGATATACCATAATAGACTCGTACACCACTGATAGGTATGCAACATCCCAATATGCTTCATCAACTGATGAGCCCAGAGATAATTCAGCTGCTGTCTACCCTAAAGCATCTAACCAAAAAGTATAGAAATGCTTATTCCATGAAAATTCGTTCTTTTAACAGACAATCATAACCGTACCAAGAGAAGGAGGCCGAATAAGTCATGCTCCAGGAACTAATCCAACTTATGCTGATCTACAGGCTACCACTAATGAGCCTTACGTTGACAGAGAAGAAGGAGCTGTTCCTTCTCGCATCGTCAAGAGAAACGCTTGGTGTAAGTCTATATTTTATCTATTAGATACATGTTTTGGACATTTAAGCTTTCAATAAGAGCCTGCCAGTAACGGTAGCTGACTTCGATTTGCCCGAGAAAGGCTTAATTGTGTTCGGGCTGGAAGAAAATGGAAACAACCAAGGTTTGATAGCAAACTGAACTTTCTTGATAATCAGTATTTCACAGAAGATATTATGGAAGGAGATACTGCTCGTTTCATTATCGAAGATCGTATGGCTAAAACATGTTTCACAACAAGTAAATCTTTGTCGTATTAATTGCTCTACAAGACTGAGCTTACAGATAAACTGATGGCCTTCATGGTTCTAATCTTCATCTTTGCCTTGGCACTTCTGTTTGTTATGGGCTTCATCGTTTATCGTCAAAGACGTCTGATCAGCAGATCTTTCTTGAAGCATTAGTAAGCTCCCTTCAACGCTCTTACGGTCTACCACAATTCCTTTCCTTCATGATAGCCATATCGATCTCTAGATTAATCTTTTTTTGAACATTTGTTAATGTGTTTCTCTTTGATACCAAATATTAAGCATATGAAGTGCTAGAGCTTTCTTACCTGGATTCTAGAAATAAACCATTTTTTCCTTCAATTCTAAGGTTATGAGCAACTTTAATGCACTGACAAATAATTTTTGGAAAAGAAGAAGTGTACGACACCTGAAATTTTGAAACTGTTTTCCTATTTCTCCTGATTTCCATGGTTTCGTACATTCTGTACGACCAAAAACATATTCATTTGACCGATGGACACGGACGAAATACATTAGAATAAACAAAAAAAATACGAAAAGGAGAAGAGACTTCCCTTCAAGATCATTGTTTGAAAGGAGGACAAGAAACTTTGGGTAGATTCTAGAAAAAAGGAAAAGTGTACGACACCTGGGATTCCCAAGCCGTCTCCGATCCAAGTACTAACCAGGCCCGACGTTGCTTGACTTGCCAGATCGGACAGGATGGCGTATTTTCAACGTGGTATGGTCGTACACATATATGGGGGGAATGAATGAACTAAGAATGAGGAACACAAAAACAGATTAACAAAAAAAACAAAAAAACAGAAGATCAAATAGACCATTTTAGGTCATTTTACCGGAAAATGCGGGAAATAAAGTTATCCTAATGATTTCCTTTGCCTGAAATCATTAGGTGGCAACGCCTCCGTGAGAAAAGTTAAGGAGCCCTGACATTGTTCTTGGCACCGCTATGTTTGGGGTTCATAGCTTTGAACGGGCCTTTACTCAGCACATGGCGTGAGTATC